TTTGCACAATGCTTTAATTTGGGGTAATCTCTCAATGCCAGCAACTTTACTGTTTCTTTAAATCTATTAATTTTTGATTATAGTCCAGGAATATTAGACAATTTATAATCTCGTCTCACGAGGTTGTAGACCTGCTCGCTGAGCCGGTGTGTTTAGTTGCAAACGTTTCATCACCCTGCTAGGTCACATTATCAGTGCACCTCCGATGAAACGTTGGTGTTCTGTCCTGCTTGTTATTTATATGCTTCAGTTTGTTGGGGTGTTTGGTACCACTTCTGGTTCTGTTTCTCAGTGGTTTGTACACAGGGTCTAATTCAATGCATTTGTTGGTGGAGTTCCGGTTAGAATACCAGGCCTCCGGGAATTCTAACTGGAACTCCATCAACAAACACGTTGAACTGGACCCGATATACAAACCACTGAAAAACAGAACCAGTAGTAATGCCAACCACCCCAGCAAACGGATGCATATAAATAACAAACGGGACAGAACATCAACGCTTCACCGAAGGCACACTGACAATGTTACTTAGCAGGGTGACAAAACATTTGCAACTAAACACACCCGCTCGACAAGCAAGTCTACAACTTCATCCACAACCCGAGCTACAAATCTACTTGAAAACTTTAATCTAGTCTTACATTGATTTGAGAAAAGAAAAACCCATTGAACATTTACTGGAGGAGGACAAAAGAAAGGGAATTTTTAAAAGGTAATAAAATTAGAATCCTTGCTTTTTTGAATATTTTGAATTTTTTCTTCAACTTTTCATCCCCCAGCATAATTTTTCACTCTTTTGATTGCCTCAGGAATTTGCATCTTCGTTTGTCTATTTGTGTCGTAAAGATTGTTTGTAAAGTATAAGGAAACCAAGGATTGATTGCAATTCATCAATCGCCATGCTATCCTCAGTTACCCACCATGGAGTCAGATATGAAGATTTCTTAGGTTTTTTGAGTGTATTTAAATAGCACATTTTTCATACTGGCCATTCTTGTAAGCTGCAGTAATGTTGGCTTCAGGAAATGAATGAAGGATGTTTTTCTTATGGAAAGCAAAACAGACAATTTGGAAATTTGTCTGCAAATAAGTATTGTGCTGGAGATGTTTATGTAACTGGTAAGTTGTCTCTGGGTTGGCTCGTGGTGAGCTAAATAAATAAAAGCTTGATTCCTTGTGTAAAATGTGGCACAGAGTCGACAAAAGAGACTTCAGAAATTTGCTCCATATATTATTCAGAGCTTACAACTACATATTTGCAAGCAACTATTTATACCCACAATTTCCATTCTGAATGTCTATGTAGGTAGTTTTTAATAAGTGTTGATATTGATTGGGACCATAAGTAACGACAACTGGAATTTCAACAGCATGTACATGTAGACAGAAGATTTTTAATATATATGTGGAGTTTTACAAGTTCTGCATTTACCAATGAAGATGGTAATCTAAAAGGATGAATAGAAGACAATGTTGACTTTTTATCGGTGTTGCAGCACTTTCTGAATTTGTTTCCTGAGAGTCCTCTTTTCCAAATGTTACTTTCTACCAAATCAGGTCTCTGGATCAGTGAAAATCAACGCTAATCCTACTTCAGATTTTGTGTAAGACACTTTGTTATTTTTTTTCTTGAAATTTTCACAGAAATTAGCAAATATTCAGTCCTACCTTGTACTGTCAATCTCTTTTTGGCCAGTAGTGGCCTCTACTTGGTATATTTAATCACTGAACATGATTCAAAGTTAGTGTGATTTATGTGTGAGATGAAGTCTGCCCAGTTCCTGAATAATATCAATTTAAACAAATTGTCTTTTAATGATAAATGATCTCAAACTATTAATTCCTTGAAAACTCTATATGTGAAAATAGACATTAACCTGTTTCTTTCAGTTAGCTCTGTATTTGCTTTCAGAATTTTTGACACATTCCCAATGTTACCTCCCATGTGTTCCTTTGTAATCGGCTTCACTGCAGTCTGCCTGCGTGTCACTTTATCTGTGAAGACAAACAGCAGGAAGAAAGAACAAATTTCTCTGCATAAAGCTGCTGTTCATGACACCCCAAAACACTTTACATTTAAATAAACTCTTTTCGAAATGTGAAAATAGGGAAACAAAGAACTCAATTTGCAAGCAGTAACATCTGACAAATTACAATGAGATGAACATTCAGCTAAATGCTCACTGTGTTGTTAGTTCAGTGTTAAATGTTGGCATATGATTTTTTTCCCCTCAATTCAATAGCATGGCTCTGAATTGTGATATGGTGAACCCTAACTTATTGAGAACAAGCAGTGACCAAAGGTCTGACATTACAGTAAATTATTCAGTGTTCAAATAATTTTGAACAATTAAAATCCTGATTATATTAAAAATCCTTCCTGTTCAGTCATTTTTCACATTTTAAGTGGACAAAAGGTCATGTCTGCATAAATTAGCAAATGTTCTGAAAGAATCCAAGCAAACAACATCACCAAGCTGCAAATTTTTAACCAAGTGTCAACTTAAAGGAAGCCAGGAAATTAATTAATTTATCCGCTCACATTTAAAATACAGTGGAGATTTGTAATCCATTTAGGCTTTTGGGCAAGTCAGGAGGAAGAAGCCATGAGACTGTTAACCAAATTAACAGTTGACGGAGCTAAGATGAGACAAACACAGGGGACAAAATCTTCTCATTCAAAATCTTGAATGGCATGAGCCATGGCAAGAAGTTTAGAAAAATCTGGTGAGATGTTGAGCAAAGACTGTTTCAAAATTGAGAATAAAATGCCCCATTTTCCAACTAAGTGTCGAATGACAGACTGAGATTGTTGCTAATGCGCAGCAAGAAATCTATTAGCATTGGTTCTCAATCATTAGCCTCTTCATTATTATTTAGTCTTGCCTCATTAATATGCAGTTCCCCATCCTACCACCTGGTGGATAGTAACTAAATGCTGAGAATTCCTGACATGAAAGCCAGAGCAGTAAACTGGCAAATCTGGCTCCAGACCTCCAGCTTGGACCCCCAGCACGAGTATCTCAGAGACCATCCATAGACAGCAGCTTCATGCACTCCACGTCCATGGACCTTTGCTTCCAACACATACCTGTCTTATTGCATCATCATAGCATGTTGCCACTTACTGTACAGTTCTGTATTTCAGCGTTGCACTTTTAATGCAGCAGCACCTACCTTTGCTATGTTGCTGCCAACTTTGTGTGCAGGGATGGATTCATGGATTCATGGATTGGACGAGGCTACATATCAGGGCTGCTCACACACTCTTCTGACATTCACTTTCTGCCTTCTTCAGTGCTCATAGCAACCCTGCCTTGCTTTGCCTTCTCTTTCCTTGCCTTTTGGCACAGACACAAAGTCAGACAGCTTGTCGTGTTTGTCAGCTATTATCAGTCAAGAATGTAGACATGTTGTTGTACAGCACTGTGCTACTCCAGTCTCTGACCTGCACTATGTGCCAGCAGCCTACGCAGTCAACACACTGCATGTGCTTCAAACAGATGGCCATGTCTCAAAGTCTAAAGGGAGTAGTCAGGGTGACATGGCACAGTAAATTGAAGTCAGTCTCTGATATTTGTCTGAGGGCTTTGACACAGTCAGTCAACAGCATCCAGTCACTGCCAGGATCCTTACTTTGGGGATATGGAGCTGATTGGCTGACATCCATCACCTATCTTGCCCCTTTCTGCCCTATTATAGGCTGTTTTCTCTTGGAATGAGACTTGGGGAGGGATGGAATGAGATGAATAGCTGATGGTGCTGGTGAGGTGGAGGAAAGGTGGTGAGGTATGCAGGGTGAGTGAGTAGGCAGCATAGAGGCCGTGCATGTTTCATGGTGTGGAGCTTGGAGTGGGTAAGAGTGAATGAGGGAAGATGATGTGAGAGTGGTAGAACATGAGCCTTTGTGGGATGTGGGTGTGGAAGCAGAGATAAGAGAGTGAGAATAAGGTAGCAGAGAGGAGATGGTGACACTTACTGTGACAGATCAGAAAAGGTCATTGCTGGCCTTTCCCCTGGATGGTTGAGCCTGGATGGGTCACACTGACCCAGGTGGTGACCTTGGACCAGGCTGGCATGGTCTGGTGTCATGACCTCCTCTGTAAGTTCTGGGAGAAAGAGGAAGGCCCGCCTCTTCACCATTTCATCTTCCATCAGACGGTAAGAATAATTAAGAAGGTAGACAGGGTACCAGTCAACCAGGCTGCTTTGTCTTCGATGCTATCATGCTTTATCAGTGTAGGAATTGCAGTCAAAATAGTAAGTGGGCCGTATTTCATCACACTTCCTACGTGAAACCTGTTGATAGTAGAAAGGCTTTTAGGAGACAGGAGGTGAGTTACATGCCCACAGAATTCCCAGCCTCTGTCCTGTTCTTGCAGCTACACTATTTAAATGGCTAATCCATTGAGTTTAGAGTCAATGATGAGAGAATCCATAAAAGAATTGGCATTGAACATCAAGGGGAGGTGGTTGAATTCCCACTTGTTGAGGAATGTTTTTGTCTGGCACTTATGAGTCCCCATTGTTACTCATCAAGTCACAGGCCAAGCCTGCATGTTGTCCAGGTCTTGCTATATCTGAGTATAGACTAGGTCTGACCTTGACAACACCAGTCCAACATCGGCACCTCCACGTCACGAGTGTAGACTGACAGCAGGTGTAATTTAACATTATCATGTAAAGCGCCAAATATAAGAAGAAATAATGGTAAACGTTAAGTTATTTTTATTCTGTCATGGAGTGCCAATATCACTGGAAAGGCCAACATTTGTTTCCCACACCTGACTGATCTGGAAATGCAGAAACAGAAACAGAAATTGCTCGAAAATCTCAGCAGGTCTGGCAGCGTCTGTCCAGAGAAATCAGAGTTAACATTTCGGATCTAGTGACCTTTCTTCAGAACTCATGCAGATGTATGGATTGTTTGTAGATTTTAAATCTGATGTTTGGAAACAATTCTGACATTAACTTTTTTTTTATAATTTTTGCTTCCCAGGCCTACCGTACAGCAAGGTAGCACCTCCTCCCTGCTTTCTGCAGTCAGTGGCTGGAATTTCAAGGGAGTAAGTATATCATGAACTTAACTAAACTTAGATATGCCGTGGATTCCACATAATTACACATCATTACCATGTCTTTCAAATACTCCAGTGAATTAATTTGAAATATATTGGCTATTATTCAAACAAATTATTCAATATTTTTCACAAAGCAAGCTCTAAAAATGAAGTACACAATGAGTTAATCTGGCCTTGGGGATGTTGACTGAAGGGGCGATATGTTGCTTAGGACATTACCTTTCAAATAGCATTTCAGAATCCTTCACCACCTCCTGAATCAGCGACACAGTGAATGGGCACTTAATATTGGATGTATGGTTGCAGATAAAACAGTATTCCCGTTGTATTACATTGGCCAACATTAATAAGATCCAAATTTTTCTCTCTCTGCAGAAAGCTCTGATATAAACCATCTAGCCACAAAGTCAACAATTAGGTTTAAGGCCATGCTCATTTGTCTGCCTTTAATTCTGGATCTTAACAGGTCATTGATGTGTCAATTTGGGATTTACCCAGCAATGATACAATTGTGCTGAGAACAATAATTTTATTTTCCAAACTTCCAGGCTACATCAAATCAGCAAAAATACAGCTTGATTGCCTGGGCATCATGGGTCAAATAGCCAAGGATCATGGAGCTGTATGTGATCTATGGGCAGAACTTTTGGCACCACTAATCTCAAGTTCTGGAATAAGGCTTGAACCCACAGGCTTCTGACTTAGATTTGGGCACTGCTTAAAGAAGCTGACACATAAAATCAGACATGTTTTACAGAATCCAAGTGTAGTTGCCAAAATATTTTTGTGTTAACTATCTCCATTCATGGGTAATATTTGCATAGATTCAGGATAAGAAGGACACGATGAAACATGTCTATGATTCATCTTAAGGTTGGATGGTCTATCAACCAAATGTTCAGTTTCAAAGGTGGAAAATTACCAATGTCCCGTGAGAGTCACTGCTTTCAACAGAAAAGGATAGAAAATTGGGAATGCTGCCCATTCAAACTTGATATTCTAACTCGATATTAAACTACACAAATAGTTGACATGCATATGATGATGTTAAATACAACTCAGGAAAGTTTTTCTTCTGCAACAAATAAACTAATACTGGATTTAGGCTGTGATGTCTATTCTTCATAGATAAATATATTATAAAAGCTTGATCTTGCATTATTCTCCAGCTTTTCATGGTAATGCCAAGTAATTATTTAAATATCATAGGTAAGAACTTTATTGCCTTACTATTGGTCAGAGACAATAGTGGCCTCTTCCTCTACTCTGCTGCATTCATATTTGCTGTGAGATTTATTTAATAGGCATGTTAATGACTTTACTTGAATCTAGTCTACAACAATAGACCCTAGACACTAGTAGGCCTTTAAAACTGAAAATGGACTGAAATAATGTAAAAAGTTTGTACTTTTGGTGCAATACTGCCAAAATCTGCAAAAAGAAGGATATTGCGATAGCTGCATTCTGGTCTGTCGATGCCCAAGTTTGTTAATACCCTAACGTAATGGTGTTTACATCTGAAAAAACCTCTGTAAATGATTCTTCACATTAAGGTTAGTCTAGAAGCAGGGTCAGTTTGTCAGTATAAAATTGTTGCTGAGTTTGAATCCAGTTGAGGGCTGCATGATATCCATGTGAGAGTGATTGGTGCCAAAACCGCTGCAACAGCAAGGAAATGTACATGCTCCAGGCATCACATGAAAGGGTCTTTGTCTATTCCTGTCACCGCATTGGTGCCCATGAAAATTCTGAACTACTGCCAGTGGGATTCTGAGACAGCAGCTGTTTTTGTGCATGTTTAAATGGAGCGCGTGCTACATGTTGTGCAGATAACACATGATAGGGGAATTACATTTTATTCCTGCCCTTTGAAAAAGGCACAAGTTAATTTTAATTCAAATTTGCAGACAATTTATGAAAAGGAGAGCTACATTCTTCAGGAAACTCTCAAATTGCAAGTGTGAATGACATATTTGAAGATGCCTTGATACAATAAATATATATTTCAGGAGAGATCTTTGTTTGCACTGTAATTAAGTACGTAATAAAGAAATCAAGACTAGTAAGTGGTCCACTACGGAACTATGTTTGTTTTCTGGAAAGCATCTGGCATTAAGCTGACCCATTTCTACATTTTACCTCAAGTGAAGTCTCTTGTACATGAGCAAAATCCTTCAAATCTTCATTTTCAACGTCAAACTTCACCGACTGTTTCTGCTCAACATAACCTTTCATGCCAATGGCACTTTCTTTTACCCACACTCCATGTTGCACCTGTGGAGTCAATGCACTGCAGCCCTTGCTATAATGTTGTATGAGGAAATATTAGACTTGAAGGCCAGGAAATGAAAATGAAAATGTTCACCCTACTTTTACTGAAAAAGGCATTATAGGTAAAGGAAACAATGGTAACCATTTTAACCTGATATGTGTAGTTGGCATACAGACCATATCTTTTTGACGTATTTGTAGTTCAGTTAGCGTTATGGTTAGGATCCATATATTCCCCGTGTATTGGTTTTCTCTCTCTTCTTTTTACTCATTACATAGGTACTGTTAGTTCTCTCAATGTGCAAAGTTTGGTACTTACTGCTTTTGCCTTGCTAATTTGTCAACCCATCAGATATCATTCGCAGACTGGTGTAGAAGGGCCCTTACCTGATGTATTAACTTATTTGTTTCCTGCATAAATCCTGTCTAATCAACTGAATATTCCAACATTTTTTTTTAGTTTGAAGAAACCTCTCCTGTAAATGAACAAAATTCTTCTCACCCACATTGTAAATTCCAAGTCAACCTTCACCTATTCTCCATATTCAGCTGTAGCTTTTAATGAACTCTCATACGATGCAGGGTTCTTTTGCAGAATATAATCTACCATAGATGAACATCTTATTTCCTTATTGCAAATCATTCTTGTCTTAAGAAATGCAGTGAAGTATCAGTCATACAAGAGGTCAAATTTTTCAACTAATCTACAACATCTCTCTACTCATCTGCATCCAGCCCTGGCGTTATAATGTGCTGTGTGAAAGCTGAGGTGGTTTGTAAGATTTGATGGACAAAGTGGTTGGTTTTTATGCTTTGATGATTTTATAAATCTTTTTGACATTTGAGGTTGCGTGACCAAAATGTTTGATCATGTGAGGGAGAATTGTCTGTGATGACTAATGCAGTGATCTTTGATTGACAAATCTAAAAAAGGTATGAAAGGATACAAATAAGTTGAAAACTGTATGGGGTCCAAATTTATGACTGCAAGCAAATGCTGCACTTATTGAGCCCATTAGTACTGCTATTTCTTGTTTCTGGGGATAAACAGCTCCCTGTAAAGTCCTACCTCAAGACTGAGCTGCAGAAAGAAGCTCGCAGGCCTTACGGTCATTTTGTAGGATGCAGACAAATCCCAATTTCACTCATTTCTTCTTGGAACTGACTTGATGATCTCCAGTGACTCTTCAGTGGCATGATCTGCTACTTCTAACTCTTTTTTTTTTGCATGTTCTTTCAATTGGATAGGGAATGGGATAATTTAAAGAACATTAAGACAGGAGGCCAGCCCTAACCCCTACTTTTGTTACTTCCATCTCTCTGTTGGGTCTTCAGATTGGCCCCACCCTCAGTAAGCCCTAAGAAATTTTGCAACAATATTAAAGGACAGATGCTTAGGAAAACAGGCCCCCCCCTCCTTTTTTCCTTCTTCTGTTTGAGAAAAAATTTCTGATCTTTAGGAATTGGCATTATTTCTTGTGTCACATGTAGATCTGGATTTTATGAAGTTTAAAATATTTTTGGACGAAGCATTAATAGATACTCTGGTTTCGTCTGGTTTAATCACAACCATTAATTATTGGTTACAGCAGACGTGATCAAATAAGTGCTTCCTGGATATAATTGCTGATGGCTCATTGTATTACAAAGCTTATTAATGCAAAAGCATTTCAATTCAACACTGCATATTGCTGAGTACAATCAGATGAGCAGCAGAGAGTTGTTGAAAGTCAGCAAACTAAAAAACATTTTCTTACTTTCCTGAAATTGTGTTTACAAAGCTGTGTAACTGCTTCTATTCCTGAGCCATCAGATTATCTGGACACCACAACCAGTTGAATTAGAATTAGATTTTATTGTCACATGTACTCAAGAAAAGGAATAGGAGTACCGTGAAAAATGAACAATGTCACCATTCTCTGGCGCCATCTTGGTCACGAAACCAGAACCTCACAAAAAAAAGCAAAAATAAAAGAAAATCAAAACGTAAGAAAAATCCAGATTTCAAAGTCTAAGCCCTTTTCCATAAAGGTGTTTGAAACCACTGATGTAGGTAACCGGGCCTAGCCACAGCCTAAAGTCTCAGTCAGCCTGTGAGTCTTGCATTGGTCACTGGGAGGAGCCATGCTCTTCCTGCCACCACCACCTCTGATCGCTGGAGGAGCTTTGCCATTGCTGCTGCCACTGCCAGCCCTGAACAGCAGGAGGATGTCCTTGTTGCCGCCTCCAGTCAGTGGGAGGAGCCACACCCGCTGCTACCTCAGACTGCCGGGAGGCTGCCATCATTCCGTGCACAGCCCGCTCTCGCTGCTGTTCCGATTAGCCCACCACAAAATGCTTTAAAGAAAATAAAAACAAGAAAAAAAAGAAAGAGCAGAAGTTAAAAGTAAACAAAAGAAAGAAAGCAGACAGGAGCGGACAAGCCCGGGCTTAGGAGCCCTGCTACTAACTGCCATTTTTACCTCAACTCTTCCTATACTTCAAACTAAATCAGTTGTGTTGTATTCAAACATTCCTCATACAATGATACATCTATAAGACAAGTAGATAAGCTCTGATTTTAACTTAGAGCAGAAATCAACCAGATGGAGGCTGAAGTCAGTGGCAAACTGTTCTGACCCTAGCGCTGTAGTGCCTGAATTATTATTAATCCTGACCCCTGCCCACATGTCTTAAGGTGCCTGCCCAAAATCAGTGAGTAGTGAGAACTGACC